TGCATGGTCCACTGGAGGAACCTCACTGTTCCTCTCAGCATGCAGTGGGGGGGCTTATGGAGCTAAAACTGAATGTGTTTCAGCTTAGATGGCCACCACAAAATTGTACATTGGCTCCCAGCTGGCCTGGGCCAGGGCCAGGGCCAAGGCAGAGGGGGCCGTTCCCTCACTGTTTCCAGGATGGCTTCGCGGGCCACATGAAACCACTTTGTGGGCCGCATCCGGCCCCTGGGCCTTGTGTTTGACATGTCTGCTTTATAGCATCTTATCAACTTCATCCAACCATATTTTTCTTATTTTCCCTTTCCTCTTAACTTATTAGTTTTATGTTTGTTTTGTAATTTAATCCTTATTCAATTTCCTTATGATGAAAGCATTTCAACATACCAGTATCTTTGTATTCAGTCCGCATTGTATACAGTCACAAAGGTGAATGTCCACCTTTCTCATTCTATTCAACTTATTTACTGTTGATATGATATATCCAGGTTTTGCTTCCATATAAAAAGAGATGAAAGCATGTCCTGGTGCTACTATGTTTATTTCTTTAGACAAAGTTTATTTCTTATAACAGATCACATACTTCTCTCTATTTTTCTTCCAGCATTTACATTTTTAAAATGGCTCCATCCATTTCCTTGTTAGTAAACACTGTATTAAAAAACAAATTCCTATACTTTATGCATAATTTCATTCCTGGTCAAAATAACCTTAGTCTTGATATTTGATTGTTCTACTTCTTTACCTTCTGCATTGTTAGTTTTTTAGTTGTAGTCAGAATTTGGGTTTGTATATTTAAGCTGGCATCTTGTTCTTTTCTGTAACATCTTTTTTTGTCACAAGCTGAAAGAATAGTTTCATGTATTGCTTTCAACATGGAAAGAATCTTCCTAGTCCTCAACCATCTCTTTAACGTGTTTATAAATAATCTTTATAGTAAAAGTCATTTGTCAAGCAATGTTTTATATCCAAGGTATTTCATGATGTCATAACCAATATTCCTCAAATAAAGAGATAGGAAGGCAATTCCCCACATATAACTCTGAAAGTCAGTAAAAGTTTACATTCACAGTTCAAGTAGGCCAGTTATGCTACCCACCTGTTCTCTTACAGTTAAGTTTCTTGCAGGTGGTGCCAAGGCCGGAAGAGTCTTATCTAAGGTCTGGGCTTTGAGCCAAGTCTCTTTTAGGAAATAACAAGTTGTAATACCAAACTTTGCCATAAGATGTCACTGATGCCATTTAAAGTTTTTTAAGTCCAAAATTTGTATAATCCTTTTTCCTTTTTTTTTTTTGTAGATAAAAGCAAAAGTCTCCAATAAAAATAGGAAAAATTTTGGTCCCCAAGTTTCGGGATCATATAAATCCAATTAGATTAAAGATATGCTTTTAGTGCTTTAATTCCCCTGAGTAGTAAGTTGCCGTTATTCTTCGAGGGTGGGATAGAAATTCCCTCTCTCCTCACAGGGTGAAAAATACTTTGGGCAGCTTTTACAGGAAAAAAAAAATACTTAGGGTAAAGAGAAGATTGAACTCAGTCTCATCCGCGCTGCTTTGGAAGTACCTGGTGGTAAGTTTAACTTGGGCTGTCTGCAGCCTTGTGACGGGCCATATTGCTCTGGACGATCTTTCCTCCGCCAGTTTGGAGGGCTGCCCTGGATCAAGCGGAAGAGCTGCTGCCCTCCCGTGATCAAATGGGGGTCCTCTCCTTCTCATCGCCCCTACAGGGTGACTTTCGACCCTTTCTAGGGTCCCCAGCAGAGCAAAACCGAACGTGGAAGATGGCGCTTGTCTTACAGTATCCACGGCAGCTGCGATGGCAAATCAGAAATCTCCAGACCTATATTTTTAAAAGCCATTGAGAAAGGAAATATTACAGGTGCAGGGTGGTAACAAAGTTCTATCTGCCATATGTCACAGTCTGGTAATTCAGAGGCTTCTTTGCAGACTAACTTGTTTAATCTGTATAAATTGTACAGAAACATCCTACGATAAAATAGCACTTAACTGATTTGATCTTATGCTAGTTTAATGTAATTATATTATAATACAGCTAAAAATAAGCAAAGAAACAGCAATATGTGATGAGATTTTTATCATTTGAATACAATGGCACTGCTTAATAAACTATTTTTAAAGATGACAAATCAAGCAGAAATGTAAAACAGGTTTTGTATTACAAACATTTTATACATGCAGAATATGACCTAAATAAAGTAGTTTTGTGCATTTTAGCATCACTTTGATGCAATCATATTAATATAACTATTTTAAAGAACTTGGGAGCTAACAGGAAAAAAAAGAGGGCCTCACATTTATGAATAGGGCAAATGTTTCTGCTGCTAACATGGAGTTCCCAGTGTGTGGCTGTGCAGGCAGACACTCTAAAAAAATCATAACACAGTAGCCCTTTTCCCCTCTAGTGAGTAAATTGTAAAAATATAATTATATATTGAGTGCCCTCCCTTTCCCACAGACAACACAGCTTTGCATTTACGAAATGTCAACATTTTCTGCATCTTCAAGTTATTGGAGTTTATAAGGCACATTTCAAGTTGTGTGACAGTTTTTCTGCGGACAATACAGTAATGTTTACAGTACTTTATAGCATAAAGATCCAAAAGTCAAAATGGGGTAACAAAAATCCTTACTATTTCTGTTCCTATTGATATATTTTTTTTAATTCCATTATGCAAAAAGTAATTGCAGTTAAAAACTTTTCAAACCAAAAATCAATATTCAGCACTCTCCAATATGTCTTACTTAGAAGACCTCTATGTCCTCCAAGACATATAGTATAACATGTTTCCTTCGGCCTGTTCTCAGCAAAAGACTATATACTAACACAATCTGCTTCCCAAACCTATCTCCTAGATCAGTGGTTCTTAACCTTTTTGAACAAATCGCCCCCTTGAGCCAATGAGGAAGTTGTCATCGCCCCCCTCCCCCAACATAACCTCTCAATCACAACATAGGAAATGATTCTTCAATTTATGCAAGCACTTTTTTTGTTTTCTTTAAAATTGTCATCAGGACATATCGATGCAAATAATTTATTTTCAGTCTTTTTCCCATATCTCCCATATTCTGGCCAATGGCGTGCCACTGTATGGGTAGAGGCTGCTGCACAACGCGCGTGAAGATAAGCGTTGCGTCTTCACATATGTATGGCGTTCTGTACTGAAGCTAGCTGGAGAAACATTTGAAAACACAATTCAATCCACTAATAGCGAGCGATCTGATGTTTTTTACGACAGATATACAGCGATTCACTGTACGAAAAAGTCTCAAAAGTTTCCCCAAAACTTCTTGCTCCATCGCCCCCATATCGCCCCCTTTTCGTTCCTTCGCCCCTACGTTGCCCCTTTTCGTTCCATCACCCCCCTGAAAAATGAAATTGCCCCCTGGGGGGCAATATCGCCCAGGTTAAGAACCACTGTCCTAGATTACAGTACTCAAGATTGCTGACCATTAGTCATTCTGACTGAGCACAGCAGTATAGCAGATATCTTAGTTTCAACCGTGAAGGAATACCCTTCCCAACACTTGTTCAATAACTTGTGAGAGGATGCTGTTGGATTCATGTTCCGCTGATGGCCTCTACAGATATATTTGGATGGCTACTGTCAGAAAGCAAAACTGGACCAGACAGTTTTTTTAATGTGATCCATCTGACCATTCTTAACATCCAGTAAATACTGTAACTCTACAACATTTGAAAAATTGAATTTCACTTGAATGAATAAATTGGTGACTTAATGACCAAGGTTTGTACTGACAACGTAGCATAACTCCAAATGTAGCTTGGTAGATTTAAAAGAATTTTTTAAAGGTGCTGCAGTCATTCACACTTTCTACAATTCTTAACCTCCTATAATTCCCAAGGTTTTTTAATCCTAAATCAGTAGTTTAAGTTGCTAATAAAAAAAATCTTACTGAAAGGCAGATGTATTCTTTTGACATCAATAAGGGATGTCACTATAAATGATCAATCTCTCATTTTAAAAAATTATTTGCATTCCCATACACTCCTTTTCCACAAGCCTGGCCTCTAAACTGGAACATTAAACCTAGAACCAATGCATAGTCTGAAGTTCTAGGACAAGCCTACCTTTAAAAATTTCATATAGAGAAGACTATAAATAATAGCTAATTGTCTAGGTTGGTCAAAATATCTGGAACTGTGAATAGAAGAAATCACAATGTAAAACAGCTGCCTTGAATTAGACTAAGGATCTGCCTTGTCCATCAGTATTTATAGAAACAATTTAGTATTGGAACAATATATATAACAGCTGGGATCCTAACACCCATCAGTATTAACCAATAAGACTGAGAGTAGATATAGTCAGTATATCTGGAAGTCACCAAGATGAGGAAGGCTGGTATCTAGGAAGTTGCCTTACCTAAGGCAGCTTATTATCCATCTAGCCAAATACACCTTTTCAGTCTCAAGCAGAGAAAATGCTTCTTGCCTAATATCTGATATTTACACTGAACGTGTTGCAATTGGGACGATTTACTTACAAAAAAAAAAGTTTTTCCCTGCTCAATTTTTCATATTTGAAGTCATTATATCAAGGTCTTAAGCCAGAGGCCTTTTTCAATCAGCCCTATCATAGTAAGGAAATGGACTGATCATCTAATACAGACATGTCAAATACAAGGCCCAGGGGCCAGATGTGGCCCGCGAAGTGGTTTCATGTGGCCCTCAAAGCTATCCTGGGAACAGTGAGGGAATGGCCCCACTGCCTTGGCCCTGGCCCAAGTACCACCCCCCTTCTGCCAGAGAACCTCAGATCTGTCCCACTCCTGCCCAGGCCCCCACAGGCACCCTTGACGCGAATGATGTAGAACTGGCCATGCCCATCTAGTAGGCCACACCTCCATCCACGCCTACCCAGTAGGCCGCACCCACTCTGGCTACACACCCCCAGCCCCCCCCCAAGGGCAACCGCAATGCTGATGCGGCCCTCAGTGAAATTGAGTTTGACACCCCCGATCAAATATATATAAAGTTTTACCAGGCATAGATGTAAATCTCAGCAATCCAAACACTCACCCTTTTCTGGAAACATGGCATGATTAATCTTTTTATTAAGGAAAAAATAAAACCATATATTACGCAGCACACATGAAATAAATCCCTTGCATAAGTCAATATTCTAGGGTTTAAGTTCTAAGCTTTTTCCTCCCACCTCAGCAGGTATTTGACTGTTTTTGTTTTGTTTTAATAGATTTGGAAGACACCATATTAATGTATGGTTCTGTTTAGTCAGGAAAACACTGGGTCCTGCCTAATCAGTTTCAATCTTTGCACCAAATATGAAATAATAGTTTTTCTTTTTTAACTAGACTTTAGTATACCATACTTCTTTCTAGATTATAATTGCCAAGAATAAACATCTAGCCTTTGATCCCTAGAAGGTGGAACTTGTTAGGACATCAATGTTCTTGTGGTTTTCTCTAAAAAAGGAAGTAGCAACGACTGCAAGCTAGAGGTAGCTCTGTGAAACTTAAGGAATTATAACAACAGAGAAATGCCCTGCATGAGACTTATATTTTTTAGCTTTACTATTTTGCAATCATCATTTATTTTTCTCTCTATGGCTTTGTTTGCAGAATGACATCACTGGAGCCATAGGTCTCCAAACTTTTAAAGAGTACCAAAACCAACCTTCCCCAATTTAGTATCCTCCAGTTGTTTGAACTAATTCCCTTAGTCCTAAAACAATATGGGACTTAAAGTCTAGTATCTCTGATGGGCTTCGGGTTGGGACAGTAATGTTATATATCATTTTCATTTGGGAAGCGGGATATGTCTCTTACTTTATGCAAGGAGATCTGTGTGATCACGTCATATATGCTGCCATATGAATAAAACCAATTTATTGATATAATATTTCAACACAATTCTTGAGTGTCTTTCCTCAAACTTACACACTTCAGAAGTGCTAAGACTGCCATTTCCAAGGGAGCCAATTGTAGAAGGCTATTAAGGGTATTATGCAAAAATGGGAACAAAGCTGTGGTACAATTGTGAACTCTGCTTTCTCGTTTTTAAATTACACAGCTTCTAAAACAATGGCTCACATAAGGCAATTATATTAATCAATTGTGTATGCTCCAAATCACTGATATAACCGCAAGCTGCTGCTGTTTAATTCTTGATCAAGGCAAGAAATTCCTCCCTTGTTTTTGAATCTTCTCGGAGGATGCCGAGCATAGTGCTAGTGACTGTTGTGCTGTTCATTTTCTGAACCCCCCTCATGATCATGCACATGTGTCTGTCAAAAAAAATGTTAAAAGAAGCATTTTCAGAACATAAGCAAATACTATGGGTGCAACAGCATTCAAATTATAAATACAATCTGATTTAAAATAATAATAAAACCAACAACAAAATTAAATATAAATTCTAGTACTACATTATTCCAGAATGTAGAAGCATGCATTTATTTTAATAATCTTCCTAATAGAAAATGTTTTTAAAAATCCACATATCCTAGGACAGTGGTGGTGAACCTATGGCACGGGTGCCAGAGGCGGCACTCGGAGCTCTCTCTGTGGGCACATGTGTCGTTGCCCCAGCCTTGCCTCCCCTGCAACCCCCTCCCCTCCAGCAGCCCCCCCTGAAGGAGAGTCACCCCCGAGCGTGGCCCACACGGAGCAGCGCAGCCAAGGACATGGCAGCCATGGAGCGTAGACAAGACTCTGCCCTCACACCCCATCATGCAGTTGATGCTGCAGGGTGTGGGCAGAGGGTGTGGCCTCCATAGTGTTGCTGGGCTGTCTGGGCATTCTGCGGTGGGTCCTGAAGGTGGTGAGTGGTCCTGTGGGAGGCGGGGCGGGGGATGGGGGGGCAGAGCGGGGAGGGGGTGGAGCAGGGGGAAGGGCCAGTTTTTGGGCACTTGGTCTCTAAAAGGTTCGCCATCACTGTCCTAGGAAATCTACAGTATCTCAATGACACTACAGTTCATATGTAGGACTACTTAAAAACAAAACTGAGTTTGATAGAATTCAATGAAGCCATTCATAGATGACTTATTTTCTTATCATCAGATATAATAATAAAGAACGATAATTTCTCTCAATACTCTTATTTTCATAGTAGAAGCCTATTCTGGATCAAAGTGTTTCCTTCAGAAGGATCATCAGATGAAGCAAAATCAATTGTGAAAATGTTGAGATTTGCAGTTCAGGAATATGTGGATTGCATGGTAATACCAGGCTACACACGCATTGAATACACATAGTGTTCCACAAGTAAATATATTTCTACTTTTGTGCTTTTAAAGTACTATTGCATTACTTTTCAACAGTAATGAAAAAGAAATGGAAAGGAGAATAAATAATTGACAGCAGAGGGAAAGAATTACAAATTCAACTAAACCAAATAAGGAATGATGAACTTACGAAGCTTCTATCACCACAGCCACTCCAACAGGTTTCAGAACTTCAGTAATTGCTAAAGCAATCTGTTTTGTAAGTCGCTCCTGGACTAGAAAAACAATTAGTGCTTTATGAAAAATTATGTTAGTCATAATGAATTGACAAAGTAAATGCAAAATTGTTCTTTAAGGATAAGACACAAAAGTTTCTTCATAAATAATTTTAATCCAATAAAAGAAAGATCTTTGAAGGAAGGGAAAGACTTCCCTTCTTGCACATTTTGTGGGTGGAAACAAAACTCATCTATTTCAGTTGCTATTATAAATTTTGAGTTTTTAAATAAAGTAATTATTGACTTAAACTTATATGACCTCCCACTGTATGGCACATATATCTATGAACAAGGACACACATACAATTTTGCAGCTACTAAGATTGTTAGCCAAGCAGACATAAAAACAGCCAGAAAGCAATTGAAGCCTGGGAAACAGGCCCCTAGTCAATTAACAGGAGTGCTGATTTACCACCAGCCTATCAAGTACTTAGAAGGTGAGGGCTGGGCAGCACAGGCAAACAACAGCTAATGACTTAAAAGCCAGCCATTAACACACCCCAATCAACATCTAAAAAGCCACATACAACAGGCACTATAAATACCACACATAGAACAGCACACATGCTGCTAGAGAGAAATTCCCTCAAGATGGGCTCCAGTTCGAAAGCCAAAATATCTGGTCCCGGTGATCCACCCAAATTGGAACCTGCAACATTATCCTGGAACATGTATATTTGCCTTCATTCTAGATTTCCCTCCAAATAAGCTAATTGCAGAATGGAGCCTTTCTCCTGGTCAAGTAAATTTGATACTTTCCAGAGAAATATCAGTGGGTCCTGTTCTGCCTTTAGCTCATCCTGTTTTATGAATTGAAAAATTTATTAAGCAGAGCACAGTGCCAGAAAAAGTACTAACCTTGGAGCCTTCGGCTAAACATTTCAACAATTCTGGAAAAAAGGGGGAAAGGATACACTAATGAGAGAGGAAGATGGCATTGATGGAAATGTAAATCAGAAAGTGACTAAGTTTGTTTGTAATTGATCTCAGACAATAGTCATCAAACTTTTTTTTACCTCAGTGATATCCCAGTGTGAAATAGATAGATAGATAGATAGATAGATAGATAGATAGATAGATAGATAGATAGATAGATAGATAGATAGATTGCAGTTTAATATTTTTCCTAATCTCTGCCAGCTCATAGCTGCAATTTCAATGCTAAAATTCCCTGTAATGACACTATAGCTCATTTCAGGCATTTGCCTGAATGAATATTTGAAAACCAGTCAAGAATAAGGCTGTGAACATAGCTATACTCATTTCTCTCACATATGCCTAATGTTCTACCAGGAAGTATGAAGGATTGTAGTATCCTACCTGTAGAACCTTAAAACAAGTTATTATCCATGTGAGTTCCATATAACAAGGTTTAGAATCAGAAAGACGTATTGATATTCAAGTAACCAATAGAAGAGAATATTTGTAGCTCAAAATTGAACTGTGGGGTCCTTGATGCTCTCTGAGCTTAGTAGTGAAATATCTGCAAGAAAACAACCAAGCTCAGAGAGCACCATGGACCCCACATTCAAGTAATACAAGTACTATTCTACTTTGATCTCCCAAACAATGTATGCAGGTTTCTATCCATTTTTGAAATCTTCACACATTCATGCAAGTGTCTATACAGGATTTCATCATTGTGCTATTCTGGTTTATTTCAAACAACTGTCAAATCTAATAGCTATTCTCTATAAAGAAAATCAGACACACTCATATGGTAATCTAAGCTATCTGTTACTGTTGCCTTACTGAATCCATAATATAAAATAGTGATTTATTACTCAGAAGAACAGTAATAAATACCTTGCAAGTTTACTTAATCCAACTACTTTCTTCCTTGGTAAATATCCAATGTGTACCTGCAGATATTAAAGGAAGATGAAGAATTATTAATGTATACATTAATATTCAATCCAGGACTGCCTCTATTTCATGCTTTTTTCAGTTGAACTTAGAAATCAGTTTTCCACTCACATTTATTATTATATTCAACATTCAATTTCTCAGCATTGCAGTGAGGAAGCTAAATATGCAGTATAACTGCCCAACTTGGGTGTTAATTTCATTTGGGGGAAAAATGCTGCTGATACTGCTGTAAAAAATTAGTCAAATTGATTATTATTCAGTTATTCTGCAAGGCATCTTACAATTAGCAACAAATTTGTTCTACTGGTTATATAGTTCAAGATTATGGACACTAGAATTTAAAATAAATCTATGTTTCCACTGTCATTACCTTGCCAAAGAAAGGAACCAAGTGATGCTCACAAAGAGAAAACATATCAATGCCTTTTACGATAACCATCTCATCATGATCTTCATCAAAAACAGCATCATTGAGTATCTCTGGAAAAAAAACAAAAAAGAAATGGAAGATCTCTCAATCTAGTTTTATCCTTTACTACAGAATAACTAAACAAATAAACTACCCAATAGCAATCTATAGAATCTATAGCCCTATAGATTCTTTACAAACTATTTTTTCTTGTTCCTATCAACGCTTTATTTGGGCACTTAATTCATATACTGTATAAACTTCATTTTTTTCTCACTTATTTGCTTTATCAATTTTTTCCCAATTCTCTGTCTGGTTAAAGTATCAACTGGCATCACGACTTGATTCTATATGCAACAAAATTTGAATACGATTTCTATACTTTTCTGGGCCTGATAAAAAAATACATCCATGAATCTTTATTTCTGCTATTGACACCAGGTACGGATGGTTTGACACCTATTTATTATAAAACTTTAGTAGAAGAGATGATCCAACCTTTAGGTGAGCTTTTTAATAACATATTGCAGGGTTCAGAGATCCCTCCGTCATGGCGCAGTGCCTTCATATCCTTGATTCCAAAAGAGGACCAAGATCTTACTTTACCAAAGAATTATAGACCTATATCTCTTTTAAATGTAGACTATAAGATCTTTGCAAAAATTTTAGCTAATAAGCTTATGACGGTTGTGCATCAGCTTATACATAAGGATCAATCGGGTTTTATAACTGGCAGGTACATGAAAAATAATGTTAGACAAATTATTAACATATTAGAATATTTAGGTAAGAACAACCAAGTCCCTGCAGGGCTGATATTTTTAGATGCTGAAAAAGCTTTTGATCAACTGAACTGGCATTTTATGTTAAGAGCAATTGAGGAGATGAATTTTGGAGAAAAAATATTACAAGCTCTTACTGCTATATATCAAAAACAAACGGCACAACTTATTGTTAATGGGGGTTTGTCAGAGGCTTTTATAATAGAAAAAGGTACTAGACAGGGATGTCCTTTGTCACCGTTGCTGTTTGTTTTAACATTGGAAATTTTGTTGATTAAAATCCGAGAGTCGCAGGAAATAAGAGGCATAGAAGTTAACAAAAAAGAATATAAGTTAAGAGCTTTTGCAGATGACTTGGTTGTTACTTTGTCTCAACCTACTTATTCTGTAGTGAAGTTATTACAGTTGATATATCAATATGGATTAGTTTCGGGTTTCAAAATTAATAATAATAAGACTAAAATATTATCTAAAAATATGACTACTTGTGATAAACAGATTTTGGCTAATTTGACTGGTTTTGAAATTGTTGATAAGATAAAATATCTGGGGGTTATTTTATCTGTTTCTAATGCAAACTTGTTTAAGAATAATTATGAAAGGCTGTGGGCCAGTGTACAGAAGGACTTGAAAAATTGGGAGAACTTACAGCTATCTCTCATGGGAAGAATTGCAGTGATTAAAATGAATGTCCTGCCAAAATTTCTCTTTTTATTTCAAATGTTACCTATTTTAAAGAATGAGGTTAATTTAAACGAATGGCAGAAAGGCATTAATAAATTTATTTGGGCAGGGAAAAAACCAAGGGTAAAGTTTAAAATTATGCAGGACTTCCGGGAGAGAGGTGGACTCAAGGTACCGAATTTGAAATTATATTATGACGCTGTGGTCTTAACATTAATTAGTGATTGGGTAAATTTAACAAATTCAGAGATACTACACTTGGAGGGATGGGATTTACTTTTTGATTGGCATGCCTATTTAATATTTAATAAAAAAGTGGACTGGGCCTTTAAATCTCATATTATAAGGATCTCTTTACTTAGGGTTTGGAGGAAATATTATAAAAGTGATTTTAAAATACCATTATGGGCTATACCTTGGCATGCGATAGAGGGGATAAAGAGAGGTGTTAAAATGGATACGGTGTCTTATACACAATTACTTAGATGGGATGGTCAAAATTGGCAGTTAAAATCTTTGGAAGACCTAGCACATGAAAATATTACCTATTCTTGGTTTCAATATAGACAATTAGTAGATAGATGGAAGATGGACCGTAATATAGGCCTGCTTAGAGAAGATGAAAATCTTTTTAAGCAAGTAAAGGATCAAAGACAAACTCATATTAAGAGAATTTATGGGGTGCTAGTGGAACTGGATTCAGAATCAGAATTAATTAAAGACTGTATGATTAAATGGGCGCAGAATTTTGGTGAACCAGTTCTACTGGATACCTGGGAAACTATCTGGGTGAGAAATGTTAAGTTTACACAAGCTCAGAATTTAAGGGAGAATTTTTATAAAATGTTTTACAGATGGCACCTTGATCCACAAAAGATGTCTTTCATGTATCCTGACTTACAGCCTAAATGTTGGAGGTGTGGCTGCCTGGATGCCACTTATTATCATATTTGGTGGTCGTGTAAAAATATAAAAGCTTTTTGGATTAAGATATGGTGGAACACTCAGAGAATTTTTAGAAAGAGGGTAAAATTTACTCCACAATTGTTTTTGCTTGGTATTGTTACTGATTGTGATGCTAAGGAGGTTATATTGATGTTGAATCTGATTACAGCCGCAAGGCTGTTAGTAGGTCAATACTGGAAGAAGGAATCTTTGCCTACTTTGCAAGAGTGGTTTTTTAAAGTATCTTACTTGGCGGAAATGGCAAAGATTTCGGCTTTCTTAAAAGAGCAAACGCAAGAGAAATTTTTTGCTGTATGGGAAAAATGAATAAATTTCATACAATTTAAACTAGATTTGAAAAAAATATCATTTAGCTTTTTTATAACCTGTATTTTTCTATTTTAAATACTTTCTCTTTTTAACGATTATAATTCTTTTTTCATATATATTTTATTTTTAATTATCTTATAATTTTGTTAATTTTTTTTTTAATTAAGCCTATATTCTGCTCTGGGAAGCTCCGGGGGGGGGAGGGAGGGGGTGGTTTGGGAGGGGTTGGGGGAGGTTGTATTGTTTTGTTTTTTTGTTGCTGTTGTTACTGTTTTTTTTCTGTTTTTGTAAAAGTTTTTAAAAATTTTTCAATTAAAAAAAAAGGAACAATTTAATATGTTGATGGCAGATTAGGTGGCTACCAATCTGTCGTATATGAGACATAATACTTTTTGTAATGCGAATAAGCCTGGGAGGTGGTTGGCTTATCAGTTATGAAAGAAACAGAAAGCTAGAATCATAGAGAAAGTAAAATATAAAGGTAGGTCTTTCAGCAAGATCTGATTAGAAAAAGCTTTTTGGACTTTTACACAAAATTATATTCAAGTGATAATATAAGGGGTTTGGATATAGATAAATATTTACAATCAGTACATTTTCCTAGACTTTCAGAGGAACAACAAAATGGGATGAATAGTTTAATTACTGTGGAGGAAATTGGTTTAGCTATTAAGCAGTTAAAGGTTGGAAAGTCTCCTGGAACAGATGGACTGACTTCTAGGTATTATAAGATCTTATCTGAAGAAATGATAGAGCCATTAAAGGAACTCTTTAATAGTATTTTGTTGGGTATGCAAGTTCCTCCTTCTTGGAAAAGAGCTTTTATATCACTGATTCCGAAGGAAGATCAGGATCTTACAGAGCCTAAGAATTATAGGCCAATTTCATTATTGAATGTTGATTATAAGATTTTTACAAAAATTTTGGCAAATAGACTAATGCAGGTTATGAAAGACTTGATTCATAGTGATCAAGCAGGATTTATAACAGGGAGATACATGAAATATAATGTTAGACAAATTATTAATTTAATTGAGTACTTGGATAAGAATAATCAGATTCCTGTGGCTTTTATCTTTTTGGACGCTGAAAAAGCTTTTGATCAATTGGACTGGCAATTTTTATTCTCTTTGGTAGAGAAAATGAATTTTGGGGATAATTTCTTACATGCACTTAAAGCTATATATCAGCAGCAATCTGCACAAATTGTTGTAAATGGGGGATTGACTGAGAATTTTAATATTCAAAAAGGGACAAGACAAAGATGTCCATTATCCCCATTGTTATTTGTTTTAACATTGGAAATTTTATTGATTCAGATTCGGGAATCAAAGTTAATTAAGGGTGTAAAGATAAGGAAGAATGAGTATAAATTGCTGGCATTTGCGGATGATTTGGTTTTAATTTTGGAACAACCGAATCAGGCGATTTATTTATTTATTTATTTATTTATGAGACTTATATACCGCTTTAAGTGCAAGCACTCTCTAAGCGGTGTACACCAGTAAGCAATGTATATATATATATTTACATTGCCCCCAACAATCTGGGTCCTCATTTTACCTACCCCGGAAGGATGGAAGGCTGAGTCAACCTTGAGCCGGTGAGATTTGAACCGCTGACCTGCTGAACACAGTCAGCTAAAGTGGCCTGCAGTACTGCACTCTAACTGCTGCACCACCTCGGCTCTTGATGGTTTATTAGAACTTATAACACAGTATGGGAATGTTTCTGGTTTTAAAGTTAATAATTATAAGACTAAGATATTATCTAAGAATATGTCAGTTAAAGATAGGGAAATTTTGATTAAAGCCACAGGTTTTCAGATGGTAAAAAAGGTTAAATATTTGGGAGTATATCTAACTGCTTCAAATGGAAAATTGTATAAGAACAATTATGAACCACTATGGGCAAAAGTCCAAAAGGATTTAAGAGATTGGAAAAAATTGCAATTGTCATTGTTGGGGAGAATTTCAGCCGTAAAAATGAATGTTCTACCAAAGTTTCTCTTTTTGTTTCAAATGATACCTATTCTTTAAAAAGAGGCAAATTTGGAGGAATGGCAAAAGGGTATCAATAATTTTATATGGGCCGGGAAGAAACCAAGGGTTAAATTTAAGATATTACAGGATGCTCGAGAAAGAGGGGGACTTAAGGCACCTAATTTGAAATTATATTACGATGCAGCCGCCCTAACTTGGTTAAATGATTGGCTTAATTTAACAAATATGGATATTCTCTTTTTGGAGGGTTGGGATTTAATATATGGTTGGCATGCATATTTAATTTTTAATAAGAAAGTTGATTGGACTTTTAAATCACATATTTTGAGGAATGCCTTACTTCGCATTTGGAAGAAGTATTATTATAGATTAAATTATAAAATACCTATCTGGGGGATTCCCAGACATGCAACTGAGGGAACTTCTAAGGCAGTGGTTCTCAACCTTTCTAATGCCGTGACCCCATAATACAGTTCCCCATGTTATGGTGACCCCCAAGTGGGTGTGGCCACCAATAAGAGGGAATAGGACAGCTAGGGAAAAGGGAAAAAATGGCGGACAGCGTGGTTTGGCGACCCCCGTGAAATGGTCGTTCGACCCCAAATGGGGTCCCGACCCACAGGTTGAGAACCACTGTTCTAAGGGGACAAATTTTGACAAAATCTCGTATAAAGAATTGTTAATTCGCTCTGGTTCGAATTGGCATTTGAAATCCCTAGATGTACTAAGGCAGCAAAATATTCTACAGTCATGGTTTCAATATTTACAAATAATGGATAGATGGACTGTAGACAAGAAAGAGGGAATAACACTAGAAGATAGACAATTGGTTATTCAGATTAAAAACCAAAGTCCGGCTCATATAAAAAGAATATACAATGTTTTATTAGAGTTAGATTCGGAAACAGAATTGGTTAAAGACTGTATGATTAAATGGGCTCAGAATATACAGGAGCCGATCTCATTGGATTTATGGGAGACAATTTGGATAAGAAATGTTAAATTTACACAAGCTCAAAATTTGAGAGAAAATTTTTATAAAATGTTTTATAGATGGCACTTAGATCCTAAAAAATTATCTTGTATGTATTCCAATATACAGCCCAAATGTTGGAGATGTGGCAATAATGATGCGACATACTTTCATATTTGGTGGAATTGTAAAAAAGTAAAGGCTTTTTGGATTATGATTTGGTGGAACATTCAAAAGATTTTTAGAAAAAAGATAAAGTTTACTCCTCAACTATTTTTACTTGGTATTTTTGTTGACTTAAATGAAAAAGAAACTACTTTGATGTTGAATTTATTAACTGCAGCAAGGTTACTAGTAGGTTTATATTGGAAGAAAGATTCCTTGCCTACTTTAGAAGAATGGATATTTAAAGTATCTAGTTTTGCAGAAATGGCAAAAATTTCTGCTTATTTAAAGGATCATACACAAGAAAGATATATTACTGTATGGGGAAGGTGGATAGATTATATTCAGAAAAAGTATGGAATTAAAAAGTTTCATTTATTTTATGAATGAATTTTAAATATTATAGAGAATTGTTTTATAGGTTATGGAGTTAAAGGTTAATTATGATATTTTTTTCTCTTCTTTTCTTTTTTTTCTTTTTTCTTAATTATTATAATTTTTTTTTATTATTAACCCTGTATTCTGCTCTGGGAAGTGAAGGGAGGGGGGTTGGGGGTGGGAGGGAGGGTAAGGGTTTTTTTTTCTACTTTAAAATTTTATTGTATTTTTATAAATGATTGTATGTTTAAAAAATAAAATATTTTCAATAAAAAAAAAAAGATGCAGGAAACAAATGATGTGGTGAATCCACATCCCAACTCTGCCTTCTACCTATTCTGATAATATTAGCAATAGCAATAGCACATAGACTTATATACCGCTTCATAGTGCTTTACACAGCCCTCTCAAAGCGGTTTACAGAATCAGTATATTGGCTCCATTACTACAATTATTAACTATATCCCTAGCATCAGAGGCACATTGACCTGTTCTACATGCTATATGCAATCATCTGTAAGTAATAACTCACTGTTATTGATTGGACAAACTATCTAATCTCTACATAAAAGAATGAATTGATATAAATTTTTCATTGGGAATGGCAATCATCAAAAATCAATGTGTACACTGCCATTCTCCAGGATACTCTGCTGTTAACCTCAAGGTAAAAATTAATGAGAAAAGGAATAATGATTTCAGCATCAAACAGCACAGTTAGAATTGGTTAGAAGATGTAACACTACTTCTCAAGGACTGAACAAAGATTATTGTCTCATAAATGCTAACTAGCTGCTTCATGAAAGAATATCTGTGCTATACCCAACTGCTGTTTTGTGGTCATTAAAGATAATCTACTGTTTTCTTTTTCCTATGACTCTCTCCTTATCCAATTCTCTTCTTTCCAACAACAGCAGGAGGCGGAAAACACTATTTTTGATGGAAAGCAAGAAAACTCAGGGTTTGGCTGAGGATATTGTCCATTCTGCCTTCTCAAAATGATTGATGGCCAGTTTTTGTACAATAAGCAGGAAATGTAAATCAGCCCATATAAACACCCAGATAAATTTCAGATACAACTAAAATTACTCGAGTCTCAACCACTTACATAGCATTATGGTGAGGCAGTCATTTACCAAGAAAGACTGAGGTTGCATGCTTACATACATTGACTGGATTCACAAATTGTACAAAGTTATAATGCAGTTTGTTTGCCTGTAACTTGAATGAATTCAGCCAAATAGGATCAATTCAGCAAACCATGCTTAAGCAAATTATAATTTAGAAGGATGGGCAAACCTAGCCACTTTTCTAGGAACTAAAACTTTTTGATGATTGTATGGCTTATGAATAAGAGACCTACCCAGCAATGCATGTGAAGTGATTGCTGTGTTTCACTACACAAATCCTACTTGTTCTATCTTATTTGGGCACAGTATATAGTTGTCTTGCGTCTTATGAAATGAATACTTTGATCTAATGTCATTCTAAAAAATCATTAGTTATCTTGTTTTCTAGTCTCTTTGTCTTACTTATGAAGAGTTAGCTGTTTCTTGGCTGGCACCTTATGCAGACACTTTTATATGAGATGCACCATTTATACTATATATATTTATTTTTGACGGGTGGGATTAGGAAAGCATAAATCTTAACCATGCTTTTGCTTATTTAAATGCAATTTCAAACCATGGGATAGTGGGTTTTATATTTTGTATTTCATCTAATTCACATTTGTGTTGAAAGAGTTGGAGGATTAGGATCTAGAACTGCCAGCCTCAATTTTTACCTGAACACTTTCAACAGTGCTTCTAGAAGCCATCCTGCTAAAAGCACTTTGCCTTCATTCTGCCCGAAAAAGGCACTTTAAAACTCCTGTTTTGAGTAGAGATGGAATGGAAATTAGGACTATTTAGACATCCCTTGGAAGGAACAGAAACCCACTTTCGGATAATGGATTGAAAGTGGCCTGCTTCACTAAAACAGGAAAGGGAACTCGTGGCCTGAAGGAGACTAACCTTCGACGGATTCATAGTAGCCCTTGGTGAGAAACTGCATGGCTTTAGCCGCCCTCCGAGGCGTCAGCAACAGCCCTTGCCTACCCGGGTTTTCGCCCAAACCCTGTAGGATGGTGCTGTAGGCGGCCTCCAGAACCGGGAGTCGCTCTATTTCTTCCGCTTCTCGAGCGCAGTGGCCTTTCTCGTCCACCGCCGGACGCTGGAACTTCAGAGACATTCTCCGCATCTGGCCGCCGCTCTGCACATCGAAGAGGCAACTGGGATCCAAGTCCCCGTTTTGGTAGCCCTGCAGGTTCAGCTGGAGCGGTTCCATGGTCCGGCGCTGGCGGCGGACGTGTGGCAGGGAGCGAGACGCGAAAAACAGCTGAGCCAGCGAGCAGCCGTTTGGGGCTGTTCGGGGTTTGCCACAGCAGGTGCCGGTCGGAGGTGGCGAGCGCGCGTCTAGGACAGGTGAAGCGGTTGCTCGGCGCTTTGGCGGCAGAAGGAGCAGATTCGAAAGGGCTGCGATGGGGGTTTGGCGTGAGCTTTGAGAAGGGAAGGCTGCGTCTCTCTTTCTCTCTGCTCTTCTCTCAGGCTGGGGTGACTGAGCGCGAGGCTTCTGGTATTTATTGCGCCCCTCGGTCTTGTTGATCAGCTCTTCCCCGTCAGAGGAAGTCATCTTGGGACTGTCAGCTGGGCGAGATCCACTGAAGCGCCCTTTGTCACCTGGCGCCCCCGCTATTCCTGCTTGCTCTAATCGGAGGAAACAAGCATAAGTCACGAATATTAGTCACGCAGTACACGCGGATAACACACGCAACCTTTCGCCTTTACCGACCAGTGAGACAACCAACAGTCTCTCCACCCCCACTCCCACCCCCCTCGTCTTCACAACAGCTCTTCCCTCTCGAGATTTTATTCCCATTTCTTAGCTCCAATGTGCTGACTGCTCGGCCTGCAATGGCGTCGGCTGCAGAGCAACAATTCACGTTGTACACTTGCATCGAAGGTGCTTGAAGCTGGAATGAAGCCCGCGTCCGATGTCTGCATTTCGAGCTGAATGGATGGAATTGGCTCGTGGGTGTAATTTCAGGCGCCGCTTTGGGCTTCGGGCGCCGTCGACTGTAAAAGAACCGCAGGCGTTAGTAACTGTAATGTGTCGGGCCACGGCGTTTTACCTCCAGTCTTGTAGCTGGTGAGCTCCCTTGGCCCTTGAGCTGCGGTCCAGGCCTGCATTCTTAAAATGGATGGGCTAAAGCAAACTTTTAAATTGTTTATTACAATCTTCAATGGCCATAATTAAATACTGATAACTAGATTTCTTTTGAAGTAGTTTTTCGGTTCTGTCACAGCTGAAATTGGGAATAGGCAGCCTTTTGCTTTATTAAACCCCTCTTTCTTGTCCACTTAGTCAAATATCTGAAGGATCATTAGGTAGAAGATATGCCTGTTTATTGTTCCACAGGAAAGGACTAGAGCAATGATGGCGAACTTTTTAGAGGCCAAGTGCCCAAACTGCAATCCAAAACCCACTTATGCATCGTCGGGTGCCGGGTGGTCGTGGCCCATTGGGTGGGTGTGGCCCATTGGGTGGGCGTGGTTGCGGTGGTAATGGCAGACTGGGTGGGACTAAAAAGGTCAATCAATCAATTCCAACTTTGCAAGATCTTTTTTTTCCCTACGAGAAATTGACTGATTGAACCTTTTTTTTTTTTTTTGCACATGGCGACAGAGGCCTAAAGCAAAAAGGTTTTATAAAACCCAGCTGAAGGCCTAGGGCTGGGGTGATGGTGTGCGTGCCCACAAAGAAGGCTCTGAGTGCCACCTTTGGCACCCGTGCTATAGGTTCGCCACAACTGGACTAGAGCTAACTGGTAGAACTTGTAGGAAAATAGGAGATATTTCTAAAGTGAAAAGCTGTTTTAGTACCTTGGTTGGAGACAAAAAGTCATTTGCCAGAAGCTTATATGCTATCAGAAATGTAACTTGGATTCTACAGTGTAGGGAATATGGATGAGATACCATCAAGGTTTTTCCAAGCTAATCATTTTATGAATAGTATTTAGATAAAGGTAAAGGTTTCACCTATGCCAGGGGTGTCAAACTGCTAGTCCACGGGCCAATTGTATCATACGGAGGCCGCGCCCACCCTAGCTCTGGCAATGCAAAAAAGTCGTAATACATCGTGACACATCACGTGACGTGGCGAGTTTGACACCCGTAACCTATGCAGTCATGTGGAACTCTAGAGTACTCACATCTCCGTTTTTTAGCCAAGGGAGCCAGTGTTGTCCGAAGACACTTTGGTGGTCATGTGGCCAGCATGATTATATGGCAAGGGGCAGGGAATGCTGTTATCTACCCATCATCTATTCATCTACTCACATTTGCATGCTTTCAAAATGCTAAGTTGTCAGGAGCTGGAGCAAGTAAGGGGAACTGACTTGTTACACAGCACTCAGGTCTCAAAACGGGCTGTCAGCTTTCCACCTTACAAACTCAGCGTCTTTAGCTGCTGAGCCATTGTACCCCCTTCAAACAGTACTTACTGATGGTTAATCACAATGTCTTTTTATGTATAAACATTCTTGCTTTCATCACTGGTGCTCTTCAACTGACCATCCCTTTATTGGTTTTCACATTCATTCCAAAGCATGTGCCACTACAGCATGTAAAGCGTAAAATCTCTTGAAAATCTCCTGGTTGAAAATACATTTCCTAAACTTTGTATAACTATTTTAATAGAGCTGTTGTCTAGAAAATCTCAGTTACTACAAAAGTAATTCTGGGAACTCAATTTAAAGTTGTTTTAAAGCAACTTTTCCAACCTGAAGTTCTCTTAAGGGCATTGGTGCTACAGGTTTTTAAATTATTTAGCTTTATCCCCAATTACTATCCTTATTGTAGGATGGAGAATTGTGGGAGTTGGACTAAGCAAAGGAACTGCTGGGCTCAAATTTGCCACCTCCTAAAGTACTTTTGTCATTTAAATAATGGGCCCCAGACTATTACCGTATGATTTTAAAATGGAGGGATTAAAGGAGGCCCAACAATGTATTTCTCATTCAAAATGGATGTACTCTGATTTGTGTCCCCTTTGAAAACACAAATATGGGCTGCAAGCTACAGTATCTACAAGATTAGATAATGCAGGTAGCACACTGATCAAAAAATTAGGTTCATATTTCCATAAATTGATGTGGTCTGAAATTGTTTTATATTGAATCTGCCTTTCAGCATATGATACATGTGTGTAAAATTAGTAACTTATATTTTCAGAAAACCCTACATCAATCCCCCACATTGCTCTTCATAGGGCTTATGCATCTGTCCTCAATCATCATGGACTGCCACCTGTGGCAATGACTGATAGCCACTGGGGCTATATACTTCTCTACTTTATCAAAAAGGCTGTAAAGACATGAACTTACACAGAGAAAAGTCTCACAGATAAAAGATCTTTTCATGTAGGACAGGGGTCTTCAAACCTACCCCTTTTGTGACTTGTGGACTTCAACTCCCAGAATTCCTCAGCCAGGCACGCTGGCTGAGGAATTCTGAGTGTTGAAGTCCACAAGTAATAAAAGGGCCAAGTTTGAAGACCCTGATGTAGGAGGCAATAGCAACATTTCGGAAGAGGTAAATATTTGGCAACTTTACAGAGAAGCACTTTTCTCTGCCCCATGCAAGCATACTCTCTGCTGCCGATTATGAAGGGCTTTTTTTCCCATTGAGAAGAAAAAAGGGAGGTTCTCAAACATTTTATAAGATAAGCCACAATTCCCTAGCTAATAGATTCGCTTTTATTTGACAGGTCACATGTTGTGGTAGCCTACACTCTGCCAGATTTCAATTTATCTTTCAAATGCACTGGCTCTGGAATAAGCAAATTGATTTATGTCCAAAAGGTCATCCAGAACACATTATGCATGTCTTTAAATAATCACAATATTTTTTTCAAGTTCAGTATGTTTTATCTTCTGCATACATACCAAAAACTTCAGCTAAATTTTCATAAGATTCCCACCCCTCAAATCACAAGTCTATAAATGTTTTTATCCATAAAGACTCCTATTGATTGAACGAAAGGCTGTGAACTTGTGATTTCCCCCCCCCAAATAACTTAAAGTTTAATTATAGAATGGCACATAATACAGGTGTTTTTCACTCTCATGTATTCCAAATAACAGAGAAAGGAGGATATACAGATAGCTCTCATTTAATGACTGTTTAACAACCATCCAAAGTTATGTTGCTGCTGAATGAGTGGTACTTACAACCAACGCAAGCTAGAAGTTCTGGTTGTCTCAGCACTCCCGCAGTTATGTGATCACTTGGAAACCAGCTTGCACTTATGATGGTTGCAGTAGCTTGTGGTCAGGTGATCACCATTTGCAATCTTTCCTGCTAGCTTTCAACAATCAACACTGGCAGAAAAAATTGCAAGTTGCTCTGGTTAGATGCTCACACTTTCCCCCTCCTGGCAACAGTCCCCCTCGGCCCCTCTACACTCATGCCACACCAGCCACCCATGTGCCCTCTCCCACCCAACAGCAGCCACCCCTGGCCCTACCATGCCTTACAGGCCACCCATGCACCTTCCCCGATACAACAGCAGCCACCTCTGGGCCCTCTGCACCTGCACCATGCCATATCTTGTGGGCCATCTGCATATCTTCCTTTGCTTGGCAGCATCCACCCCCAAGTTTGCCATGCCAGCAACCCATGCACCCTCCCTTGCCTGGTAGTAACCACTTACCCACCTGCCTGTTTGCAAGCCAGCTGGGACTTGCTTAATGACTCACAATCCTTGCTTAATGATGGCACCAGACATGCTAGGATTGCTAGAGTTAGTAATATGGTCACCTGATGTTGCACTTAATGTAATCCCAAATTCAGTTAATACAGGACAAGCTTGTGCACAATTGAGGCTTCTGCATGCACAGTTGCAATTAGGATAGAAGTTCAAAAAAGGCTTGTTATTACATTAGAGCAAAAATGTAATGAAATGAATAAATGTGATCATAGCAACACTAAAATAAAACATTTGAATGCCTGAATCTACAGTAAAAAATTTTGTTTTTATTTTGCTTTGTATAACTACTCTGTAACTTTGTTAATCATAAATTTAAATTAAAAGTATACTTTTAGTGTTTTACTGTAATATTTCATTTATATATTGGGTTTGCAAACCCAAACCCACACCAATAATGAGGCACGACCACAAACCAGAAACCAGACTACAGCTGCATCATTAGCCACTTTAAACCCCTCCAATCCATACATGAAGCAAACTGACACCCACCATGAAGACGAGGCACGACTACGAATGCGAAGCCAAAAAATAGCAAGGCAGCCCACCATCTTAAAACCCCCCTGCAACTCAGACTAACCTGAGCACAACAAAGCCCCCACCCAAACAGAAGACTCCCCCATCCAATCAGAGCACAGCCAACCCCCCATCCAATCAGAGCACAGCCAAGCCCCTAACCAATCAGAACACACTTCCACCCAATCAGAACACAGCCAATCTCCCACCCAATCAGTTCATACCCCCACTGGCAGTTAAAAGGAAGAAACAGCTGTGATCACACATTGCTCCTTGAAGCACGAAGCTGAAAACACCAGCCTGAAGATGACGAAGTCTCCAATTTGACGCGGGAGAAAACCCGAATAACCAAAGACATATATATGTATGTATGTATGTATGTTTGCCTCCAAGACAAAGAACAAGAAAACGGCAAAGCCCTCCTCCCATACATAAAAGGCACCACAGACAGAATCAGTAAGATCCTCCATAAACACAACATCAAAACAGCATTCTGCACAAACAGAAAAATATCCACCATCCTTAGAAACCCCAAAGATAAAATTGAATTAGAAAATCAAGGAGTATACGAAATCCCATGCACCACTTGTCCCACCACATACATCGGACAAACCAACAGAAGAATAAGTGCACGCATTGAAGAACATAAGAACTCAGTCAAAAAAGAGGAACCAACATCTTCCCTGGTCCAACACCTTAAAGCCACAGGACATGAAATTGACTTTAAAAATACCAGAACCATTGCCAAAAGTGAACATTTTAATAACAGAATAATCAGAGAAGCCATCGAGATAGAAAAACGCCCACACAGCATGAACAAGCGAGATGATACCTCCCGCCTACCAGCCATTTGGAAACCCGCCCTTATTGACAAACGACTTCCTAACACAAAAAATGATACCAGACCCACACTCACAAAAACCACACAGGAGGTCACCACCACACATCCACGCAAAAAACAAACCCAAAGCCACACCGATGACGAGGCACGACCACAAACCAGAAGCCAGAC